ATTACACTCAACACAATGTCGTTTTGAGTGATTACACTCAACACAACGTTGTTGTTTGTGATTACACTCAACACAACGTCGTTGCGTCTCATCAATATTTTTGTGTGTGATTACACACACAACAACGTTGTGTTTAATCACACAACAATGTTGCGTGTAATCACTCACATATTGAGTGATTACACACTCGGCGTGTGTCTGTAGCAGTTGTACGTGTGCCGCTTGTCGTAGATGTTCGCGGTTTGAATCCAGCGGCCGCCCTGTTTAATGCTACAGGCGTGTTCACCGCAAAGACACCATGTGCCGTCTGCTTCAGTGGACGTTGAAGATCCCAGCGTCATGGACCAGATTAACCGAATTAAATACAATTGCCCGCAAATTACCCAGTTGGAATATACTGTGCCTAGTAATCATTGCTGGGAAATGTGGTAGAACCCTCCTGAAAAGAGCCAGTAGGGCTATCCTGGGTAAAACTGACCACCCACCCCCTCGTGTGGCATGCTAGCCTTAATAGGTGCTCGCTAACAGAACTTATTTATCGAACAGACTGTTAAATGAAGGGACTGTGTCTTCATTTGAGTCCGTGACTGTGTAACCTGGTACATAAGGGTGCCGCGGTGGTGGGATGTTAACTCCTTCACCTGGTATGCAATAGGTCGTGAGTTCGATCCGGACCCTGACGCCTGTATATTTGGAGTTTGCATGTCTCTCTCTCTCCCGTGGTCGCGTGGATTGTTCTCCAGGTCTTCCAGTTTTTCCCTCCATATTTAGAAACATGCGTTCAGAGCAGGAGTCTCAAACTCAACTTACCTGGGGGCCGCTGGAGGTAGAGTCTGGGTGAGGCTGGGCCGCATCAAGTATTCCAAAAAAAAGTGCAACTGATCCAATCTTCTCAATCTTTATTAATAACAGTTCAGAACATGAACGGTTCTTCAGAACATAGGCTTCTCTTACCTACTCCATGCTTCCAGAGACCTGGCAGCGCTTCCTCTTCTTACACAGCTGAGCCACATTTGGCTTGAGGGAGGAAGCAATTGAGACCCTCAGTATGGCTTGAAATGCTCATCAGTAAGTTTGGACCTGTACTTTGACTTATTAAAGTTCATGGTGCAAAAGAGCTTTTCACACAGATATGTGCTCCCAAAAAGGCACATGGTCCGCTTGAACATCCTGGAAAGCTCAGGGAAGGTGGGGGTGATATATTTACATGTTTTTATCCCAATACCTGAGTATTTGGGATCTTATTTAGTATGCCCTTTCTATATATTCTGAGAGGTATTTGAAAACTTTATCATTGTTCATGCTTTTTTTGAGCACTTCGTTTTTCTTATCATTATTAAATTCATCAATCGTGTTCTCTCTCAGGTGTTTATACCTTTCACATTCATAAATAAAGTGATCTAGATTTTCTTCTTTTTGTTCACATCCTACATATCCTTCTGCTCTAACGAATCTCTCTGGATGCCATTGAGCTAACTCTGGTGTCCATGTTACTCCACCTGTCTTAATTCTTAACATCAAGTGCATTGTCTCATGTTTTATATCTTTTAATTTCTTGCTCTTTTTGATTAAATTGTTCTTGGTAAATTATTTTCTTTTGCGATTGCACATATCTGTCCTTTTTCCTTTTCTTTGTTTCTCTTGTAATAATAATCTATAACTTCTTTATAATATTCAGGTTCTAACCAACATTTGGCTTTTGTTCTTGCCACCCATCTCATGCTATTTGCTATCCATGTAATTATTTTCCCTTTCCTATTGCAACACTCTGTTGTCTTTATTAGGTCACTGATTACACTTGTTGAGTCCGCCCACTTCCTGAGTCCTCTGTACCTTGCACAGGGTGACAGGATATATTTTCCTTCCACTTGGTGTCACTCCGGAATCACGTTTCAACCAAGTGACTAACGTTGCTAATTCGCGTTGGCTAACTTGTCAACAAACACCGGAAGCTGTCACGAGCCTGAGCTATGGTAAAAAAATATAATAACAATAAATAAATAAATAATTGATGCCAAATAGTGGGCCACAAAATATCGTTCCGCGGGCCACAATTGGCCTGCGGGCCGCGAGTTTGAGACCCCTGGTTTAGAGTATTTTACTGCTATAAATTTCCACAAGATGAGCCACTCCGTTAAAACTAACATTTGTGACCAGATCGCTTCTTAAAAAGAGCTATATGGCTCACTTACCTGGTAAAATAAAAAGTTACATTTCAAATAATCACCACGGTAATGTGTCACCCACACGACCTTGAACTTGAGGCATCGCGCAGAACGCGGCATGCAGTGTGGGGTTAGCTGGGTGGTGCAGGGAGCTGCTACTACTTGCAGAGGGGGGCGGGGCAGGGGGGGACTGAGTCCTCTTGCATAATTGACTTGCGGATTGACCGATGCATAGACGAAAAGATAGCACGTGAATGAATGAGTGTACGGCTGGACTGCAAATGAATGGACAATATTCTTCATCGCCATTTTAAAAAAAACTTAACATTGTAATCCATCACCCTGTACATCTGCTGAACCAACGTATCCTACAGCAGCATATGAGTGTGTTTTCATACATTGCCTGAGTGTGTGTTTCTTGCGTATGATCGGTATGTGTTTTACGCATGATCCATATTTGATATCACACAAGATATTTGCCTGTTTTTCTAATGATCTGCACGTGTTTCACGCATAATCTCTGGGTTTCACAAATGTTCTGTGTGGGTGGCCGGGACCACCCTCAGCTGCCTTTTTCTCCCGAGTTGCGATGTGTACGCATCGTACCAGATACTAATTTAAGGCTGAACCGACCTCTCGAGATCCAGGACGCAGTGGTGATGGTGGCTGTAAGCGGGACTCGAGCTCGGGTCGCCTCGTCCTCCTCACCCCTCACCTCGTCCTTCTCATCCCTCAGCTCGTATTCCTCACACCTCACTTCGTCCTCCTCACCCCTCACCTCGTCCTCGCCTCGTCATCTTTACCCCTTGCCTCGTCATCTTTACCCCTTAGCTCATCCTCCTCACCCTCACCTCGTCCTTCTCTAACCCCTCGCTCTCCTCACCTCGTCCTCACCCATCACCTCGTCCTCCTCACCCATCACCTCGTCCTCCTCACCCATTGCCTCGTCCTCCTCAACCCTCGTTCTCACCCCTCGCCTCCTCCTCACCCCTCGCCTCGTCCTCCTCACCCCTCGTCCTCCTCACCCCTCACCTCGTCCTCGCCTCGTCCTCCTCACCCCTTGCCTCGTCATCTTTACCCCTCAGCTCATCCTCCTCACCCTCACCTCGTCCTCCTCACCCCTCACCTCGTCCTCCTCAGCTCGTCCTCTTCACCCCTCGTCCTCCTCACCTCGTCCTCCTCACCCCTCAGCTCGTCTTCCTCACCTCGTCCTCACCCCTCACGTCGTCCGCTTGACCTTTCACCTCGTCCACACCCCTCACCTCATCCTCACCCATCACCTCGTCTTCCTCACCCCTCAGCTCATCCGCTTTACCCCTCAGCTCGTCCTCCTCACCCCTCGTCCTCCTCACCCCTCAGCTCGTCTTCCTCACCCCTCACCTCGTCCTCCTCACCCCTCGACTCGTCCTTCTCACCCCTCATCCTCCTCACCCCTCGTCCTCCTCACCCCTCGTCCTCCTCACCCCTCGCCTCATCTTTCTCACCCATCGTCCTCCTCACCCCTCGTCCTCCTCACCCCTCGTCCTCCTCACCCCTCGTTCTCTTCACTCGTTCTCCTCACCCCTCTCCTCGTCCTCCTCACACCTCATCTCGTCCTCCTCACACCTCATCTCGTCCTCACCCCTCACCTCCTGACCTCGTTCTTCTTACCCTTCACCTCGTCCTCCTCACCCCTTGCCTCGTCCTCCTCACCCGCTCCTGACACGGCCAACACACACGCCCATGGCAACCTCACTTAGGGCACGGCACACCGACTTAGCATCACCCTCATTTATACCTCCACGTTTATCGGCCTCGTTCTATCGTGACGGCCAAGACGCTGGACGTTTGTGATAAAGAACTTCGTAGCTCATCGGATTCCTCCTCCAGTGTACAAATAAATAAATATCACGGCTCTGATCTCTTTGCGGCGCCGCAGTGGCGTTCATCACTCGCCGCCTCCCCATGGCACGACTACGACGCCCTCTGTTGGACGCTGTGTGTCATCAACATTGTTGCCTGTGATTACACTCAACACAACGTTGTTGTTGTAAGTGATTACACTCAACACAACGTCGTTGTTAGTGATTACACTAAACACAACGTCGTTGTTAGTGATTACACTAAACACAACGTCGTTGTTAGTGATTACACTAAACACAACGACGTTGTGTGTAATTACACACAACGTCGTTGTGAGTGATTACACTCAACACAATGTCGTTTTGAGTGATTACACTCAACACAACGTTGTTGCTTGTGATTACACTCAACACAACGTCGTTGCGTCTCATCAATATTTTTGTGTGTGATTACACACACAACAACGTTGTGTTTAATCACACAACAATGTTGCGTGTAATCACTCACATATTGAGTGATTACACACTCGGCGTGTGTCTGTAGCAGTTGTACGTGTGCCGCTTGTCGTAGATGTTCGCGGTTTGAATCCAGCGGCCGCCCTGTTTAATGCTACAGGCGTGTTCACCGCAAAGACACCATGTGCCGTCTGCTTCAGTGGACGTTGAAGATCCCAGCGTCATGGACCAGATTAACCGAATTAAATACAATTGCCCGCAAATTACCCAGTTGGAATATACTGTGCCTAGTAATCATTGCTGGGAAATGTGGTAGAACCCTCCTGAAAAGAGCCAGTAGGGCTATCCTGGGTAAAACTGACCACCCACCCCCTCGTGTGGCATGCTAGCCTTAATAGGTGCTCGCTAACAGAACTTATTTATCGAACAGACTGTTAAATGAAGGGACTGTGTCTTCATTTGAGTCCGTGACTGTGTAACCTGGTACATAAGGGTGCCGTGGTGGTGGGATGTTAACTCCTTCACCTGGTATGCAATTGGTCGTGAGTTCGATCCGGACCCTGACGCCTGTATATTTGGAGTTTGCATGTCTCTCTCTCTCCCGTGGTCGCGTGGATTGTTCTCCAGGTCTTCCAGTTTTTCCCTCCATATTTAAAAACATGCGTTCAGAGCAGGAGTCTCAAACTCAACTTACCTGGGGGCCGCTGGAGGTAGAGTCTTTGTGAGGCTGGGCCTCATCAAGTATTCCAAAAAAAAGTGCAACTGATCCAATCTTCTCAATCTTTATTAATAACAGTTCAGAACATGAACGGTTCTTCAGAACATAGGCTTCTCTTACCTACTCCATGCTTCCAGAGACCTGGCAGCGCTTCCTCTTCTTACACAGCTGAGCCACATTTGGCTTGAGGGAGGAAGCAATTGAGACCCTCAGTATGGCTTGAAATGCTCATCAGTAAGTTTGGACCTGTACTTTGACTTATTAAAGTTCATGGTGCAAAAGAGCTTTTTCACACAGATATGTGCTCCCAAAAAGGCACATGGTCCGCTTGAACATCCTGGAAAGCTCAGGGAAGGTGGGGGTGATATATTTACATGTTTTTATCCCAATACCTGAGTATTTGGGATCTTATTTAGTATGCCCTTTCTATATATTCTGAGAGGTATTTGAAAACTTTATCATTGTTCATGCTTTTTTTGAGCACTTCGTTTTTCTTATCATTATTTAATTCATCAATCGTGTTCTCTCTCAGGTGTTTATACCTTTCACATTCATAAATAAAGTGATCTAGATTTTCTTCTTTTTGTTCACATCCTACATATCCTTCTGCTCTAACGAATCTCTCTGGATGCCATTGAGCTAACTCTGGTGTCCATGTTACTCCACCTGTCTTAATTCTTAACATCAAGTGCATTGTCTCATGTTTTATATCTTTTAATTTCTTGCTCTTTTTGATTAAATTGTTCTTGGTAAATTATTTTCTTTTGCAATTGCACATATCTGTCCTTTTTCCTTTTCTTTGTTTCTCTTGTAATAATAATCTATAACTTCTTTATAATATTCAGGTTCTAACCAACATTTGGCTTTTGTTCTTGCCACCCATCTCATGCTATTTGCTATCCATGTAATTATTTTCCCTTTCCTATTGCAACACTCTGTTGTCTTTATTAGGTCACTGATTACACTTGTTGAGTCTGCCCACTTCCTGAGTCCTCTGTACCTTGCACAGGGTGACAGGATATATTTTCCTTCCACTTGGTGTCACTCCGGAATCACGTTTCAACCAAGTGACTAACGTTGCTAATTCGCGTTGGCTAACTTGTCAACAAACACCGGAAGCTGTCACGAGCCAGAGCTATGGTAAAAAAAGTATAATAATTTAAAAATAAATAAAAAATTGATGGCAAATAGTGGGCCACAAAATATCGTTCCGCGGGCCACAATTGGCCTGCGGGCCGCGAGTTTGAGACCCCTGGTTTAGAGTATTTTACTGCTATAAATTTCCACAAGATGAGCCACTCCGTTAAAACTAACATTTGTGACCAGATCGCTTCTTAAAAAGAGCTATATGGCTCACTTACCTGGTAAAATAAAAAGTTACATTTCAAATAATCACCACGGTAATGTGTCACCCACACGACCTTGAACTTGAGGCATCGCGCAGAACGCGGCATGCAGTGTGGGGTTAGCTGGGTGGTGCAGGGAGCTGCTACTACTTGCAGAGGGGGGCGGGGCAGGGGGGGACTGAGTCCTCTTGCATAATTGACTTGCGGATTGACCGATGCATAGACGAAAAGATAGCACGTGAATGAATGAGTGTACGGCTGGACTGCAAATGAATGGACAATATTCTTCATCGCCATTTTAAAAAAACTTAACATTGTAATCCATCACCCTGTACATCTGCTGAACCAACGTATCCTACAGCATATGAGTGTGTTTTCATACATTGCCTGAGTGTGTGTTTCTTGCGTATGATCGGTATGTGTTTTACGCATGATCCATATTTGATATCACGCAAGATATTTGCCTGTTTTTCTAATGATCTGCACGTGTTTCACGCATAATCTCTGGGTTTCACAAATGTTCTGTGTGGGTGGCCGGGACCACCCTCAGCTGCCTTTTTCTCCCGAGTTGCGATGTGTACACATCGTACCAGATACTAATTTAAGGCTGAACCGACCTCTCGAGATCCAGGACGCAGTGGTGATGGTGGCTGTAAGCGGGACTCGAGCTCGGGTCGCCTCGTCCTCCTCACCCCTCACCTCGTCCTTCTCATCCCTCAGCTCGTATTCCTCACCCCTCACCTCGCCCTCACTTCGTCCTCCTCACCCCTCACCTCGTCCTCGCCTCGTCATCTTTACCCCTTGCCTCGTTATCTTTACCCCTTAGCTCATCCTCCTCACCCTCACCTCGTCCTTTTCTAACCCCTCGCTCTCCTCACCTCGTCCTCACCCATCACCTCGTCCTCCTCACCCATCACCTCGTCCTCCTCACCCATTGCCTCGTCCTCCTCAACCCTCGTTCTCACCCCTCGCCTCCTCCTCACCCCTCGCCTCGTCCTCCTCACCCCTCGTCCTCCTCACCCCTCACCTCGTCCTTCTCATCCCTCAGCTCGTATTCCTCACCCCTCACCTCGCCCTCACTTCGTCCTCCTCACCCCTCACCTCGTCCTCGCCCTCGTCATCTTTACCCCTTAGCTCATCACCCTCACCTCGTCCTTCTCTAACCCCTCGCTCTCCTCACCTCGTCCCCTCACCCATCACCTCGTCCTCCTCACCCATCGCCTCGTCCTCCTCACCCATTGCCTCGTCCTCCTCAACCCTCGTTCTCACCCCTCGCCTCCTCCTCACCCCTCGCCTCGTCCTCCTCACCCCTCGTTCTCCTCACCCCTCGCCTCGTACTCACCCCTCACTTCGTCCTCCTCACCCCTCACCTCGTCCTCGCCTCGTCCTCCTCACCCCTTGCCTCGTCCTCTTTACCCCTCAGCTCATCCTCCTCACCCTCACCTCGTCCTCCTCACCCCTCACCTCGTCCTCCTCTGCTCGTCCTCTTCACCCCTCGTCCTCCTCACCTCGTCCTCCTCTGCTCGTCCTCTTCACCCCTCGTCCTCCTCACCTCGTCCTCCTCACCCCTCAGCTCGTCTTCCTCACCTCGTCCTCACCCATCACGTCGTCCGCTTGACCTTTCACCTCGTCCACACCCCTCACCTCATCCTCACCCATCACCTCGTCTTCCTCACCCCTCAGCTCATCCGCTTTACCCCTCAGCTCGTCCTCCTCACCCCTCGTCCTCCTCACCCCTCAGCTCGTCTTCCTCACCCCTCACCTCGTCCTCCTCACCCCTCGACTCGTCCTTCTCACCCCTCATCCTCCTCACCCCTCGTCCTCCTCACCCCTCGTCCTCCTCACCCCTCGCCTCATCTTTCTCACCCATCGTCCTCCTCACCCCTCGTCCTCCTCACCCCTCGTCCTCCTCACCCCTCGTTCTCTTCACTCGTTCTCCTCACCCCTCTCCTCGTCCTCCTCACACCTCATCTCGTCCTCCTCACACCTCATCTCGTCCTCACCCCTCACCTCCTGACCTCGTTCTTCTTACCCTTCACCTCGTCCTCCTCACCCCTTGCCTCGTCCTCCTCACCCGCTCCTGACACGGCCAACACACACGCCCATGGCAACCTCACTTAGGGCACGGCACACCGACTTAGCATCACCCTCATTTATACCTCCACGTTTATCGGCCTCGTTCTATCGTGACGGCCAAGACGCTGGACGTTTGTGATAAAGAACTTCGTAGCTCATCGGATTCCTCCTCCAGTGTACAAATAAATAAATATCACGGCTCTGATCTCTTTGCGGCGCCGCAGTGGCGTTCATCACTCGCCGCCTCCCCATGGCACGACTACGACGCCCTCTGTTGGACGCTGTGTGTCATCAACATTGTTGCCTGTGATTACACTCAACACATCGTTGTTGTTGTGATTACACTCAACACAACGTCGTTGTTAGTGATTACACTAAACACAACGTCGTTGTTAGTGATTACACTAAACACAACGTCGTTGTTAGTGATTACACTAAACACAACGTCGTTGTGTGTAATTACACTCAACACAATGTCGTTGTGAGTGATTACACTCAACACAATGTCGTTTTGAGTGATTACACTCAACACAACGTTGTTGCTTGTGATTACACTCAACACAACGTCGTTGCGTCTCATCAATATTTTTGTGTGTGATTACACACACAACAACGTTGTGTTTAATCACACAACAATGTTGCGTGTAATCACTCACATATTGAGTGATTACACACTCGGCGTGTGTCTGTAGCAGTTGTACGTGTGCCGCTTGTCGTAGATGTTCGCGGTTTGATTCCAGCGGCCGCCCTGTTTAATGCTACAGGCGTGTTCACCGCAAAGACACCATGTGCCGTCTGCTTCAGTGGACGTTGAAGATCCCAGCGTCATGGACCAGATTAACCGAATTAAATACAATTGCCCGCAAATTACCCAGTTGGAATATACTGTGCCTAGTAATCATTGCTGGGAAATGTGGTAGAACCCTCCTGAAAAGAGCCAGTAGGGCTATCCTGGGTAAAACTGACCACCCACCCCCTCGTGTGGCATGCTAGCCTTAATAGGTGCTCGCTAACAGCACTTATTTATCGAACAGACTGTTAAATGAAGGGACTGTGTCTTCATTTCAGTCCGTGACTGTGTAACCTGGTACATAAGGCTGCCGCGGTGGTGGGATGTTAACTCCTTCACCTGGTATGTAATAGGTCGTGGGTTCGATCCGGACCCTGACGCCTGTATATTTGGAGTTTGCATGTCTCTCTCTCTCCCGTGGTCGCGTGGATTGTTCTCCAGGTCTTCCATTTTTTCACTCCATATTTAGAAACATGCGTTTAGAGCAGGAGTCTCAAACTCAACTTACCTGGGGGCCGCTGGAGGTAGAGTCTGGGTGAGGCTGGGCCTCATCAAGTATTCCAAAAAAAAGTGCAACTGATCCAATCTTCTCAATCTTTATTAATAACAGTTCAGAACATGAACGGTTCTTCAGAACATAGGCTTCTCTTACCTACTCCATGCTTCCAGAGACCTGGCAGCGCTTCCTCTTCTTACACAGCTGAGCCACATTTGGCTTGAGGGAGGAAGCAATTGAGACCCTCAGTATGGCTTGAAATGCTCATCAGTAAGTTTGGACCTGTACTTTGACTTATTAAAGTTCATGGTGCAAAAGAGCTTTTCACACAGATATGTGCTCCCAAAAAGGCACATGGTCCGCTTGAACATCCTGGAAAGCTCAGGGAAGGTGGGGGTGATATATTTACATGTTTTTATCCCAATACCTGAGTATTTGGGATCTTATTTAGTATGCCCTTTCTATATATTCTGAGAGGTATTTGAAAACTTTATCATTGTTCATGCTTTTTTTTTAGCACTTCGTTTTTCTTATCATTATTAAATTCATCAATCGTGTTCTCTCTCAGGTGTTTATACCTTTCACATTCATAAATAAAGTGATCTAGATTTTCTTCTTTTTGTTCACATCCTACATATCCTTCTGCTCTACCGAATCTCTCTGGATGCCATTGAGCTAACTCTGGTGTCCATGTTACTCCATCTGTCTTAATTCTTAACATCAAGTGCATTGTCTCATGTTTTATATCTTTTAATTTCTTGCTCTTTTTGATTAAATTGTTCTTGGTAAATTATTTTCTTTTGCGATTGCACATATCTGTCCTTTTTCCTTTTCTTTGTTTCTCTTGTAATAATAATCTATAACTTCTTTATAATTTTCAGGTTCTAACCAACATTTGGCTTTTGTTCTTGCCACCCATCTCATGCTATTTGCTATCCATGTAATTATTTTCCCTTTCCTATTGCAACACTCTGTTGTTTTTATTAGGTCACTGATTACACTTGTTGAGTCCGCCCACTTCCTAAGTCCTCTGTACCTTGCACTGGGTGACAGGATATATTTTCCTTCCACTTGGTGTCACTCCGGAATCACGTTTCAACCAAGTGACTAACGTTGCTAATTCGCGTTGGCTAACTTGTCAACAAACACCGGAAGCTGGCACGAGCCTGAGCTATGGTAAAAAATATATAATAATTAAAAAATAAATAAAAGTTGATGTCAAATAGTGGGCCAGAAAATATCGTTCCGCGGACCACAATTGGCCTGCGGGCCGCGAGTTTGAGACCCCTGGTTTAGAGTATTTTACTGCTATAAATTTCCACAAGATGAGCCACTCCGTTAAAACTAACATTTGTGACCAGATCGCTTCTTAAAAAGAGCTATATGGCTCACTTACCTGGTAAAATAAAAAGTTACATTTCAAATAATCACCACGGTAATGTGTTACCCACACGACCTTGAACTTGAGGCATCGCGCAGAACGCGGCATGCAGTGTGGGGTTAGCTGGGTGGTGCAGGGAGCTGCTACTACTTGCAGAGGGGGGCGGGGCATGGGGGGACTGAGTCCTCTTGCATAATTGACTTGCGGATTGACCGATGCATAGACGAAAAGATAGCACGTGAATGAATGAGTGTACGGCTGGACTGCAAATGAATGGACAATATTCTTCATCGCCATTTAAAAAAAAAACTTAACATTGTAATCCATCACCCTGTACATCTGCTGAACCAACGTATCTTACAGCAGCATATGAGTGTGTTTTCATACTTTGCCTGAGTGTGTGTTTCTTGCGTATGATCGGTATGTGTTTTACGCATGATCCATTTTTGATATCACGCAAGATATTTGCCTGTTTTTCTAATGATCTGCACGTGTTTCACGCATAATCTCTGGGTTTCACACATGTTCTGTGTGGGTGGCCCGGACCACCCTCAGCTGCCTTTTTCTCCCGAGTTGCGATGTGTACACATCGTACCAGATACTAATTTAAGGCTGAACCGACCTCTCGAGATCCAGGACGCAGTGGTGATGGTGGCTGTAAGCGGGAATCGAGCTCGGGTCGCCTCGTCCTCCTCACCCCTCACCTCGTCCTCGCCTCGTCATCTTTACCCCTTAGCTCATCCCCCTCACCCTCACCTCGTCCTTCTCTAACTCCTCGCTCTCCTCACCTCGTCCTCACCCATCACCTCGTCCTCCTCACCCATCGCCTCGTCCTCACCCATCGCCTCGTCCTCCTCAACCCTCGTTCTCACCTCTCGTCTCCTCCTCACCCCTCGCCTCGTCCTCCTCACCCCTCGTTCTCCTCACCCCTCGTTCTCCTCACCCCTCGTCTCGTACTCACCCCTCACTTAGTCCTCCTCACCCCTCACCTCGTCCTCGCCTCGTCCTCCTCACCCCTTGCCTCGTCATCTTTACCCCTCATCTCATCCTCCTCACCCTCACCTCGTCCTCCTCACCCCTCACCTCGTCCTCCTCAGCTCGTCCTCTTCACCCCTCGTCCTCCTCACCTCGTCCTCCTCACCCCTCAGCTCATCTTCCTCACCTCGTCCTCACCCCTCACGTCGTCCGCTTGACCTTTCACCTCGTCCACACCCCTCACCTCATCC